AGAGGCAGCCAGCCGCAGCCCCGTGATCTGCTCCCTGGGAACATCCCAGTTCTGCTCCTGGGACACCGAATCCTTCTCTTGCCCTGCCTACAGATGCCTGTTCCCAGGCTGGATGTCAGGGCACACTGGAACCCCCCAGTGCCTCCCTGCAAGCTTGTCTGGGCACACACCGCCTGCTCTGCCCTGGAGCAGGCTGGATCCGATAAAAGGTTATTTTGCCGCTTCTTTCAGGGACAGGCGTTGGAGAGTGGCCTTGTAGAAACCGTTGTGCGACTCCGAGCAGCTTTGCTAGTTTAACCCTCATGGGGAGTTAAGCATTTTCAGCTGTAATGGCACTGGAGAAAAACTCAAGAAGAAAGCTTGGGAGAAAAACCCTTCTTGAGCTGCTCAGAAATGCAAAGTTTTGAGGTTTCCGTATTTTCCCTTTCCAGATTCATAGTTTTTAGGCACTGAAGGGTCCTGAGTAACAAGAGGGTGTTTTGTAGGGCAGAGAGGAGCATCACCAGCCAAAACCTTCTGTCCAAAATGTGCTATCTTAAAATAATAAAATAAATGAAATACTAAAAAGTCTGATTCCTCCACCACAAACTGCAGAGGGCACTGCTCTGCCCGCAGGACCAGCGAGGTGACCTCAGCACTTCCCACCCGCCCCACGCTGCCGGCTGCCAACAGCCCAGCTCCTCAGCCCTCTGTGCCAGCCCTGCAAACGCATCGCTTTCCCCCGGGATGTTCGTTGGGATTTCTGCGCACCCGTTTGCCTGGAGTGAAGAAGATGCCTTTTCCTCCCAGGGTGATACGCTGCTCTGGGATCTGGCTTTTATTAGGCACGTCAAAACTCAGGAGATTATGCAAATATTAACAGTTTTGAATTTTTTGTTTATGCGACACTTTCATTTCAAAGCTGACCTGCCCCGTTGTTCTGGCCAGCCTTCCTCTGACAGCAAACCTGTATGGGCGACCTTGTCAGCTCCCTGCCTGTCAACGCTACAAGGAACAAAAGGTTAAATCCTTGCCAAATTTTTTTAAAAAATCAGTCTTTAATAACTGCTGTTTCTGGGGACTGTGGGAGAAATGGAGGGGATAAGATGGACGGTGACTTCCTCTCCAGTACAGACCTGTCTTACTCCACTTGGAGAGGAGGTCTGCAGCAGGTGGGATCATGGGCATACCGGCACGGTCTTTTATTATGCTGTAACACGTGGCTTTGCAGGCTTTTGGCCAAATATAGTGCTAAGCCACAAATCCACAGCACAAGTAGTTGTTGTGTCCTCAAAGAAAGGACATCAGCAACTGAGAGCCACAAAGCACAAAGAGCAGCACCCCAGAGAAACCACCTCAGCTACGGGCAAGCGACGCGCAGGTTGTTTGCAGACAGAGAGCAAAGGGGCTGCGCTACAGCCCAGAAACAGGGTTACGATACTCACAGCTCATCCGAGCAGTCCTGGGGCTTTTTCAGGCGCTGCCCGTGGAAGAGGTACTCGTAGATCTCGTGGTTCGGCACTCCTGGGTAGGGCGTCATCCCTCGGGTCGCTATCTCCCACATGGTAACGCCAAATGCCCACTGCGGAGACAAAGGGAAAGCACGCTGAAAGGACGTTTCCAGGAGGAATGAATGAGTCTTTTCACGGGGAAAGGTCACTGCCCAGCGTCCACTGGGCCCTCGCACAATGCTAAGAGTTGTCACTCCAGTCCTGCCCTCCCCAAAACTGGCAATAATAAGCAATGCCACACAAGAGGCGAGCAGCCCACTCAATAAACCTATTCCAGGACGCTGGGCAGGCAACAAAAGGTCAGCGCATCCCATTACCGACAGCCTCCCGCTCCCCTGGCTTTGCGCTTCCAGGGTACAAGAACAGCTGTAACGCGGTGCGGCAAGGGTGGACGACTCAAGCCAGGGGTCGGTCCCCAGCTCGCACCTCCTGCTGCCTGGCTGTCCAGCCCCATGGACCTACCACATCGCTCTTGGTGGTGTAGACACGGTCAGCCAGGGACTCAATGGAAATCCACTTCACTGGCATTTTTGC